AGTTCTTTGAAAAGACCAACAAAATTGACAACTTTGTGGCTAGACTGAGATAATAGCAACAAGCAATTAGCAATGAACTTTAAAAAACAGTGTCGTTTACAATAATATTTAAAAAACACCTAAGAATATATCTAACAAAAGATAACCAAGACTTTTTTTTTTTTAAAGATTTTATTTATTTATTTGACAGAGAGATCACAAGTAGGCAGAGAGGCAGGCAGAGAGAGAGGGGAGCAGACTCCCCGCAGAGCAGAGAGCCCAATGCGGGGCTCGATCCCGGGACCCTGAGATCATGACCTGAGCCGAAGGCAGAGGCTTTAACCCACTGAGCCACCCAGGTGCCCCAAGACTTTTTTTTTTTTGAAGATTTTATTTATTTATTTGACAGACAGATCAGAAGTAGGCAGAGAGGCAGGCAGAGAGAGAGGAAGGGACGCAGGCTCCCCGCTGAGCAGAGAGCCTGACTCAGAACTCGATCCCAGGACCCTGAGATCATGACCCGAGCCAAAGGCAGAGGCTTAACCCACTGAGCCACCCAGGTGCCCCAAAAGATAACCAAAACTTTTATAAGGAAAATTACAGCATGTTGGTGAGATAAGTTAGGGATCTAAATAAATGGAAAAATATAGCATGCTCATAAGTCAGAAAACTTGGTATTGTTAAAATGGCAATCCTCCCCCAAATTGATCTGCTGACTCCATACAATAGTGATCAATACTCTAGCATGTTTTTTATAGAAACTGACAAACTCTAAAATTTATATAAAAATACGAAGAACCTAGAATAACTAAACAAATTTTTTTAAAGATTTTATTTATTTATTTGACAGACAGAGATCACAAGTATGCAGAGAGGCAGGCAGAGAGAGGGGGGGGAAGCAGGCTCCCCGCTGAGCAGAAAGCCCGATGCGGGGGCTCGATCCCAGGACCCTGGGATCATGACCTGAACCGAAGGCAGGGTCTTGAACCCACTGAGCCACCCAGGTGCCCCTAACTAAACAAATTTTGAGAAAGAACAAAAGAGAGTTAAATGACTTATCCTATCTGATTTCAAGACTTACTCTAATCCCACAGTATCGAGACAGTTTAGTATTGGCAAAAAGACAGATATATACATCAATGGAACAGAATAAGGAGTCCAGAAACAGACTCACACACATATATGTTCTAATAATTTCTGACAAAGGTGCCAATGCAATTGAATAGGGGAAGTCTTAACAACAGGATATACAAAATGAAAAGAAATTAACACTGACTGTTATAACACACCATGACCAAAAAATTAACTCTAAACAAGTCATAGACCCAAATGTAAAACCTAGAAAACTTCCAGAAAAAAACAAAGGGGAAAATCTTTGCAATTAGGGATGACAAAGTTTTCTCAAATATAATACAAAAAGCATGAAACATAGAAGGAAAAAAAATAATATTTTAATCATTTTTTTAATTTTTTTTTTATTTATTTGACAGATCACAAGTAGGCAGAGAGGCAGGCAGAGAGAGGAAGGAAAGCAGGCTCCCTGCTGAGCAGAGAGCCCACAGGGCTGGATCCCAGGATCCCAGGACCCTGGGATCACGACCTGAGCTGAAAGCAGAGGCTTTAACCCACTGAGCCACCCAGACGCCCCTTTAATCATTTTTAATGATAAATTTAAAACTGTTGATCTTCAAGGCACCCAAGTGGCTCAGTCAGTTGAGTGGCTTCAGTTCAGGTCATGATGTCAGAGTCGTGGGATAAAGCCCCAAGTCCAGCTCCACACTCAGCAGGGAGTCTGCCTCAAGATTCTCTCACTCCCCCTGCCCTTCCCCCCTCTCTAAACTAAATAAATAAATCTTTAAAGAAACAAAAATAAATAAAACTGTTGGTCTTCAAACATGCCATCAAGATATGATGCAAATCAGAGATTGGAAGAAAATATTTAAGATGTATCTATCAGACAAAGGAATTGTATTCAGAATATGATTTTTAAAAATACTACAATTCCATGGGACACCTGGGTGGCTCAGTGGGTTAAAGCCTCTGCCTTCGGCTCAGTTCATGATCCCAGGGCCCTGGGATCGAGCCCCACGTCTCTCTGCTCCGCAGAGAGCCTGCTTCCTCCTTTCTCTCTCTGCCTGCCTCTCTGCCTACTTGTGATCTCTCTCTGTCAAATAAATAAATAAAATCTTTAAAAAAAAAAAAAAACTACAATTCCATAGTAAGACAAACAACTCAATTTTTTTAAATGGGCAAAAGATATGAATAGGCACTTCCCAGATGATGATGTATGAATGGCCAATAAGCACATGAACAGATGTTCTACATCATTATTCATTAGGAAAATGCAACTTAAAATCACAATGAAACACCCCTATACACCCATAAAATTGGCTAAAATTGAAGACTTATTCCCATACACTGGTGGTAGAATAGAAAATAATGCCACCAATTTGGAAAATAGGCAATTTGTTAAAAAGGTAAACGTACTCCTGACATAAGACCCAATTAACCTAAGATGGTAAATCTTAGTAAATAAATACCATCTTAGGTATTTATCAAGAGAAAAAAGAAACAAAACATTTTTCCACATAGAGACTTGTACGTGGAAGTTCATAGCAGCTTTATTTTAATAACCTCAAAATGAAAATGACCCAACTATCCATCAAAATAAATGGCTAAACTAATCATGATATATCTATAATCAAATTCTGTTCAGCAATAAAAACTAATTTTCACTCAAAATCATTATTTTAAGTGAAAAAAATCATGCAAAAAGAGAACATATTATATGATTTCATTTATATAAAATCCTAGAACATGCAAACCACTATATGGTGAAAGGAAAAAGGTCAGTGGTGTCTGGGAACAGGAGTAGAGGAGGGAATGGATTGCAAAGGAACCCAAAAAATTTTTTCAGAGGGATGGAAATGGTATTTTGATTGTGGTGACACTGTTTTGGTTATTTACATATACCAAAGCTGATCATACTGTACACTTTAAATAAGTATACTATAAATATGAAGTCTACTGTACTTCAATAATACCTCAAAAATATATTTAAAAATTTTTAATAGGAATTGGCAGGTCTCTAGGGACAAAACCCACCATCCAAAACAATGGGAACAATCTCTACTAGGAACACTTAATAGTATCAAGGAGCTATTAAGAGTCAAGTCCCATGTGACTCCTCTTGATAAACTGTCCTCATGGGAATTTCTTTACTGTCAGTGTAGGACTCAGATACACCCATACCCCCTCTCATGAATAAGTACAAGCACAGTAATAAGTAAGTAAATAAATATCAATAGTTCATATAATCAGTATGATTAACATCTTAGAAATTAAATCAATGTGATTAGGGCATCCTTCCCTATAGGTCTCTCTTATTTCCAAAGGACTCAACAAAAACAATTTATCTAGGGCGACTGGGTGGCTCAGTGGGTTAAGCCGCTGCCTTCGGCTCAGGTCATGGTCTCGGGGTCCTGGGATCGAGCCCCACATCAGGCTCTCTGCTCCACAGGGAGCCTGCTTCCGCCTCACTCTCTGCCTGCTCCTCTGCCTACTTGTGATCTCTCTCTCTCTCTCTGTGTCAAATAAATAAATAAAATATTAAAAAAAAAAAAAAAAACAATTTATCTAGTATTTTACAACACTTGTCATATGACAGTACTTGATTGCTTCTAAAAACCCAGATTAATTTCAAACTTCCCTTTCCATAATTATGGCAAGAGAAAGACTTTGGTTTAAAGAATATAATCATAGTTGTAGTGACTTCATAATTTCTTGTGTGCAGCACACCTTTGGGTCTCAGCTTCTAACCACAAAAGTGAAAAGTTTAACCAATTTTCAACTCCTTTCTGATCTATGAAGAATTTTTCAGAGAACCTAGTTCATTCTCCAGGTGCAACTACTTAGACTTCATTAGAAAATTATTTCAGTTCATCTCAGTTTCCTTTGCAGCCTCCGTTCATTCTATCCAATCTTTAAATGCTGATGTTCTCCAGGGTTGCATCCTCTAGCCTCTTTTAGTCTCACTTCTTACCAAAGGTTCTCAATCTCTTACAAAGGATTCCTATGCCCAAACTCCAGTGATTCTGAGTCAGAATAATAGACAAGGTCCTGTTAATCTTTATATTTTTAAAAAATTAACACTTGCTATTACATTAAAAGCTTTTATCTGTTCACATTCTGTTCTCTATGAAAAAAAAAAAAAAATACCTTTTCCTTCTGGCTAACTGGATTATTCCTTGACTTTCAAGTCTGTTCAGGAGTGACTTGCTCAGGCAACTCTTCCCTTCTGAACTATCACTCCCCTTTCCCCAAGTGCTATATTAAATTCCTGTTTAAAAATATTTACTTACACTTTATCACGTTGATGTACTTGCCTATCTCCCCTTTTAGACTATTCTGTGCTTTTCTTGTCTGTATATCTAACAGATATATGTGTTATAGCACATGAGATATTCAGCAAATGTTATCTGAAGGAATTAATTCCTTTCAATGAATACCAAGTTAATAAGAATCTCTTTTGTACCAACAAATAAAATACGGAAAAAGTTAGCACATTCAGTCTACGAAATAATAAACTGGCCTTAAAGCCAAATAGTCCGAAAATAAAAGGATTTCTTACAGCCATTTTTACCAGTCCTTTCCATGTTCATCAATGTATTCATGAGTATATACTTGATGTCTGAGGACATGCGGGGCTACACTGTCAATACGTTCCATTTTTAATATAATTGATACTTTGCAAGCTAGGTTCTTCTCCCCTACATTAGGTTTAGACCTGCACTGTCCAATCAGGTTGGCACTAGCTACAGGTGGCTATTAAAATTTAAGATTAAATACAATTGAAAAATCAGTTCCTCAATCACACTGGCCACATTTCAAGTGCTCAAAAGCCATACGTGGCTACGGTCCTGAACAGTGTGGATACAGAACATTTTCTCATCATCACAGGAAGTTCTACTGGCCAGCGCTGGCGACACAATTATAAATGGATCCCAGAAAACCTCACTTACTTCTTAGCTCCCACGATCTTCGTGCTCCTCTGCTGCTTAAAGGATGTGGGTTCCGGTGTCTAGCAAATCGCAAGCACATGAGTGAATGCTAGGGACCTCTGAATCCTGACCACAAAAAGACGAATCCCCCTGTGCCCAGAGAAATGTAGCTCTCCCCCCGCAACTACCTCCAACGGATAAAAGGCAAGACTTTTTAAGAAAAGTGTGTCGTCCTGTCTTCCTAGAGTTAAGGCAGCTGACAACACCATAGTCTTCACCATAGTCTTCACTATTCCCAAAGCCCTGTCCCAGATAAAGGTTCTAAAGGGAGGTGAAAAGAGAGGATACGGATATGGGAGGTACTGGGGATATAAAAGGAACAGAAATTAATGGGAATCGGGCGAGAAACTGAGTCCAAGGAGGTGGGCAACAGTCAGCGGTAAGTGGGGGGAAAAAAGGGAGAGAGATCTGACCTAGAAGGGTGGGGCCTAGGATGGGCTCTGATAAAACCAACTCTGAGCACGGGACAAAAGCGAGGGACCGCGTGTTGCGGGCTCCACAGCGCTACCCCTAAGGCATAACGGCCAAACGGAGAAACTCACAGCGGGTACTGCACCGAGTCTGGAAGACATCACTCCCTCTCCACGCCTAACAAATCCACCCAAGGGCTCCGGCCAGACCAACGCCACTTCCGCTCTCCTCTCCTTTCCCGGATGTGGAGTCAGCGCCGCGGATCCCAGGAATGAACGTCTACTTCCGCCTGGCAGCTTGGGAGGGGGCTAGGGCCGGAGTGAGTCACGTGACACAACTCCCTCCCTCTGAGACCCCGCCCGGGGAAGCTGTAGGTGGGGTTGGGAGCCCCAAACCTGGATTCAGGGCCCCTTCCTCGCGTTCCATCTGTTTGCGCGACACCCAATATCCTTTCACCCTCCATTGCCCCCTCCAGCACGACGAGTGGTCTTTCTAGGTGATCAGTTATCCCCCCTTTATTTATCTTAGAGAAATTACAGACCCATTCCCGCCCTTCCTCCCCGCCAGGTAGAGAGGCTTAGAGGCTCTTTGATTGCTGAGGGTGCAGGTATCCGAGGCAGCGGCTGAGCAGGAAAGAAGTCAGAAAAGGGGCAGGTCGGTGAAGGCTTGAGCCAGTCAGTGAATAATGGGGACGAATCTCTTCTCATCTGTTAGCTTCAGGCCTCTAAA